GACCTCCACACTGTTAAACCCAACTCTGGAGTTTGGGGCTCCCTCCTTGTAGCACGATATTTTAAATTCTAGGTTTTATTGTTATTTAGCTATGGTGAGGTCAACAAATCAGGAAATGGCTGTCATTGAAAAAAAATTGTATCCTCTTTCCCAAGAGAAAGGAACATGTTATACGACAGGGGGCTACCCAGGAAAGCATCAGGGTCATATGGGGGCAGAGGGAGAAGGGGAAATGTGGGCAGGAGGCTTTATTGTGGTTTTCACAGGAAGGAATGGGCAAGGTGAAATAGGCAGGCTTAGAATTGGCTAATTTGAATAATTTCAGTAGGCTCTGAGGCATAGGGTCTGTCTCTTGTCCTCTGGTACCTGGCCCTGGAGTGATTAGGGCGGATAAGTAGTGGCACAGTGTGTGGGAACCAAGGGGGAAAAAAAAGGTGGTTGGAGGTATGGGTTCTGGGTTGGTTGGTGTGCATTTGAAAGATGAACTTCTTTGTGAGAAATTGGTTAATTCTAGGAGGGGCAGTCCCTCCAGAGTCATCAAATGTCAAAGCATTAGAATACAGAAAGGAAAAGATACTGCTAATTTATCTTTTTACTTCTACTCTCAACCCTCTTATGCTAGTAGCCTCCCTCTCAAGGATCGATAAATGTTGGAATGCCCCATGTCTTAGTCCTCAGACACTCTCTTCTTCCTATATCCCTTTAGGTGAAGTCATGCATCCTCATGGCTTTAAGTAACACTTATATTTTGATGACTCCCAAATTTATATCTCTACCCCCAAACTCTAGACCACCTATTACTCAACTGCCTACTAAACATCTTCACTTGGATGTGTAAGAGACATCTCAAACCAAACATATTTCAAACATATTCCAAACATATTCTAATCTTGATTTCTGCTCCCTAATCTGCTTCTCTCTGTCTTCTCCATTTTAATAAATAGCACCTGCATTTGCCCTAGGTTAGTGACTCAAGCCCTAAACCTAGAAATTTTACTAGATGTTTTTATTTTTGTCAAACCTGTGAGAAATTCCCATCAGGTCTTCTTTGAAAGTATAGATGACAAATGGAAAGACATTGTATGTTGTCCATGGATTGGAAGACAATATTATTTATTAGATGGCTATATTTTCTAATAAACATACAGAAACAGTGTAGTTCCTATCAAAATTTCAGATGTGTGTGTGTGTGTGTGAATAAGCAGATTTTAAAATTCACATGTAAATGCAAGAGAGCCAGAATAGCCCCCCCCCCCGCCCCGCCACACACACACACACACACACACACACACACACACACATTTGCAAAATCTTGAAAAAGAGCAAAGTTGGGGGACTCACATTTCCTGATCTCAAAACCTACCACAGAACTACTGTAATCAAGTCTCTGGTACTGACATAAAATAGACATAGCTCAATGGAGTAGACTTGAGAGTCCAGAAATAAACCCATACATCCATAGTTCATTGGATTTTGGTTAGGGTGCCAAGACAATCAATGGAGAAAGAATAATCTTTTAAACAAAATTGTGCAGGGGCAATTGGATGTCCACATGCAAAAGAACGAATCTGGAGCCTTGCCTCATACAAATATTAACTCACAATGCATCAAAGACCTAAATATAAGAAGAAAAGTGATAAAATTCTCAGGAGAAAACATACATGTAAATCTTTTTTTTTTTTACCTTGGATTAGGCAGTGGTTTCTTATATATGACACCTAAAGCGCAAGTAATAAAAGACAAAATAGATAAATCAACTTCATCAAAATTAATTGTGCTTTAAATTAAATTAAATTAGAACATTTGTGCTTCATAGAACCTATCAAGAAGCTGAAAGATAATCTGCAGACTGGGAGAAAATATTTGTTAGCCATGTATTTGATAAGCAACTTGGCAGTTTCTCAAAAAGTTAAACATAGAGTTACCATTTAAACAAGCAACTCCTACATATATACAAACCCAGGAGAACTGAAAACATGTCTACACTAAAACTTATATATAAATATTCATAGAATTATTCAGAATAGCCAACAAGTGGAAACAACCCAAATGTCCATCAACTGATGAATGGATAAACAACATGTGGTGGTATAGTCACACAATGAAATATTATTCGGATATAAAAAGGAATGAAGTACTGATATGTGCTACAACATAAACGAATCTTGAAAATATGCCTGGTGAAAGAAGCTAGACATAAAAAGCCACATATTATATGATTACATTTATATGAAATATCCAGAATAAGCAAATTTGTAGAGACAGAAAGTATGTTAGTGGTTGCCAAGGGAAAGAGAAGGGGAATTGGGGAGTTTCTTCTAATGGGTATGGGGTTCCTTTTTGGGATGATGAAAATAATCTAAAATTAGATAGTGGTATAGGTTGCACAATTCTGTGAATATACTAAAAACCACTGAATTATACCACTGAATCATCTATGTTTTATATATATATACTAGAGGCCCGATGCATGAAATTCATGCAAGAGTAGGCCTTCCTTCCCGTGGCTGCCAGCACTGGCTTCCCTCCGGTACCTGGGACCCGTGCTTCCCTCACAGCCCCAGCAATTAGCATATTATGCTTTTATTATTATAGATGTGCAGACACAAACATACAAACACACTTACACATATAATTCTCTATTATATGTTAATTATACTTAAATAAAGATGTTGAAAAATTTTTAATAAATTTAAAGGACAAATTAAATATATGTATATATATTAAACTTTCAACAAGAACCACTTCTCACCTCTACTGGCCCCACAACTCTAATCCAAACTATCATCACTTCTGCAAAAATATTCCTCACTGATCACCCTGCCCAGTCTCCTGCCCAACAATAGTCTATTATCTACACCAAGCATATCAAACTCAGAGCCCACAGGCCACATGCAGCCCACAAGGAATATTTTTGCAGCCCAGCCAATATAATGGTATGTAAGAAATGTTTTAATAAAAATTTCATAACTTAATTTTTACAATATTCTGTTATATATAATTATTAATAATGAACTACAACGTTCACTAATGACAGATTACAATAGTCATGTTGCATTCATTTCCCTTACGCGTCCGCGCACCATTTCTCTCCACTAATACTAGCAGCGAATATTTTAGCAGCCAATTGCCACGTCATTAGTCTTTTTTAAAAATATATATATATTTTGTTGATTTTTTACAGAGAGGAAGGGAGAGGGACAGAGAGTTAGAAACATGAATGAGAGAGAAACATTGATCAGCTGCCTCCTCCTACACACCCCCTACCAGGGATGTGCCTGCAACCAAGGTACATACTGGAATCGAACCCAGGACCCTTCAGTCCCTAGGCTGACGCTCTATCCACTGAGCCAAACCGGTCAGGGCGCCACGTCATTAGTCTTGGACAGAATGTTTGGTGTGCACAACAGGAAATATTTTGCTTTCAGAGAACAAGAAAAATAGGTTTATTTATGTTACGCTTATTAATTTGTGCAGTTATTCAGTGTCTGGTTAGTTAATGTTCAAGAAAAAAATATTAATTTTTATTAAAATGTTCTATTATTTTATGTTAACAATTACTCATTTATTTCAGCCCTTTGTAGTCAGCATGTCTCTATCAAAATAAACCTATTTCTATGAAAATTGAAGCTTTGTTTTTTTGTGACCCATATAAACTTAAACCTTGTTTATTTGGCCCTTGTTAGCCGTTGAGTTTGATGTGCTTGATCTACACCAAAGCTGAGTCCTCTTTTAAAAGTGTAAATGAGATCATGTTATTCTAATCCAAATCCTCCACTGGCCTTCTGCATTGTACTCAGAGCAGCTCTGCTTCTAACTTGATTTACATGTATGGCTCTAACTTATTTCCCCTGAAGAAATGGTTCCATGGCTAATACAATGTTGACAGCCTCTTGGAGGCCAAACTAGCTGACAGTCATGTATCCTGTCCCTTTTTGCCTTCAACCATGAAAAGTCCTTGGATGGGGAAAAAACCTTGAGCAAAGGTAGAAGTGTAAGAGGTGAAACAGGACAAAGGTTGGAACACAACATAGCCAGTTCTCTGCTTTCCCTGTCTAAACCTCTTAATGAGAGATCACCCAAGTGATGGGCAAACTCATTTACAGCACTCAAAAGAGCTTGACTACTTTACCTGCTCAGTCAGCTGTCAAATATTTATTGAGAATCTAGTTCTGTGCTCCTGAGCACTAAACGGAGTGCCTGACACCCAGAGTTCTGGCCCAGTTGGATTATTTATTTGACAAGCAAGATTTGGTTTTCAAGGGCCTACTCCTGAAACTATGGAAGGCTCTGTGGGAGAGACAAAGAGATAACCACCAGTGTGGGTAAGTCAGAGGATTGCTTCATATTCAGAAAAGTCTGTTAGAAAAGGAGGAAGAGCTTCTAATTTGGATTGATAAAGAGGCCCTCGCTTCCTCTTACCCTATCTTCCCTCTCCGAGGCCCATAACTTCCCTTCCCAGCTTCACTCTGGCATGGCCCACTTAAAGATTTGTTTATGAGCCCTAACTGGTTTGGCTCAGTGGATAGAGCATTGGCCTGCGGACTCAAGGGTCCCAGGTTCAATTCCGGTCAAGGGCATGTACCTTGGTTGTGGGCACATCCCTAGTAGGGGGTGTGCAGGAGGCAGCTGATCGATGTTTCTCTCTCATCGATGTTTCTAACTCTCTATCCCTCTCCCTTCCTCTCTAAAAAATCAATAAAATGTATTAAAAAAAAAAAGATTTGTTTATGAGTCCTGGCCAATGTGGCTCAGTTGGTTGAACATCATCCAGTGCACCCAGGGATTGTTGGTTTGATTCCTGGTCAGGGCATGTGCTAGGTTGCAGCTCAATCCCCTGTGGTGGTGAGGGGTGGGGGGGGGGGGGCTTGCAGGAAGGCAGCCAGTCCATGTTTTCCTCTCACATCGATCTTTCTCTCTTCCTCCTCTCTCCCTAAAATCAATAAAAATATTTTTTAAAAAACCACACATTTGTTTACAAGTCATTTCCTTGTTTTCAGGAGTGAACAAATCATCAAGTCATGAGACCAGCAAAACTACAGAAAGCAAAACATCAGAAGGGCCTGAGACTTTCAATTGTCTGTTTCAGATCCGGTAGAGAACATGTTCCTCCTCCTGCTAATTTTGAGCCTGGGAGTACAGCTTCATCAGACAAGAGGTAAGACGAACAAAGGGAGGGGCCTGAGAAAGAGGAGCAGGTGATGGCCCCTAGCTGAAGCCAACCATGACAATGTGGTCCTCAGGCGAAAGGCTTTCTTTGAGGGGAAGAGTGATTACTGGCTGTTACAAGCACAGCAAAAGAATGATGGCTTGTGCATGCCCATGTTCCTGTCTGACAAAAACAGGGACTGAGAATATTGGTTCATCTAGTCCCACGCTCCAATGAGGGTGGTGACAAGAAGACAGAACCTCTCAGACCATGCACCTCAGAACTGATACAAGAGGGCATTGTTTGTTTGTCCTGAAAGGTGAGGTTCCAGGCAGCTGTCCTCTTCTCTTCTGACAGGTAGAGTGAGGAATCAAAGGTCAGGGGGACACCTAAAGAACTCTGTTACTCTAAAGCAGTGGTTCTCAACCTTCCTAATGCCGCGACCCTTTAATACAGTTCCTCATGTTGTAGTGACCCCAACCATAAAATTATTTTCGTTGCTACTTCATAACTGTAATTTTGCTACTGTAAACAATATGTAATTATTTATATGTTTTCTGATGGTCTTAGGCGACCCCTGTGAAAGGGTCGTTCGACCCCCAAAAGGGTCGCGACCCACAGGTTGAGAACCGCTGCTCCAAAGAGTCTCTTGCAGACATTCCGCTGATTATTGAATATTTATTTCAGTTCCTCTTTTAAAAAGCAACAGCAGCAGTCATTGTTCATTTAAACGCTAATTGTGGATTACTTGAATTGGAAAATCAGAGTTTTCCTAATGTTTAAATGAATAATGAACCTTAATGTGATGCCTTTGGATACTGAAGAAAGGAGTTCTACCAGCAGGTGTGGGTGCTCACAGGTTTTTTCCCATCTAAGGACTTTCCATGGTTGAAGGCAAAAAGCAGTTTCAGAGTTTGTGGCTCTCCTAGGAAAGTCAGGACCCCTTCGTGTGTGCAGTGAGGATCATGAGTCTGTTATTTTGGGTGAACACCAGGAGGTAAGAGAGGGAGACAGAAGTGGGTGCTGGGAATTAGGCCCTCAATGATAGCAGCCCCAATGCTTGAGAAGTCCCCCAACATTCTGCCTTTGATTGAGAAAGAAGGGCTTCTTTGGCACTGATAACCTTTTGAAGAGCTTTCCCCTACCTTCCAGGTGATCCCAAGCTACTCTTTACCCAGTCACGTTCCTCCTCCTCCCTTGGGCTGGACAGCCTGGTTTGTTAGGGGCCATCCTTGGAGAACACCCCAATATGCTGCTTACTCCAGCCCTGCCCTATAGTGCCAGCTAAAGAAACATTTCCTGTTTCCTTTCTAAGGCACCCTCCGATTTTAGAGACATGTAAAAGGCAAAGATGCCTCCTTGCTACCACAGAACTTTAAATTTCCAACCTATATAATAAAAGCCTAATATGCTAAGTGTCTGGTTGTCCATTCAACCAATCAAAGTGTAATATGCTAATGATATGCTAAGGCCACTCAACCGCTCATATGAAGTGCACTGACCACCAGGGAGCAGACGCTCTGACTGGTAGGTTAGCTTGCTGCTGGGGTCTGGCTGACCAGGACTGAGCGAGACAGGCTGAACATGCCCTGGAGTCCTCCCACGATCCCTCCTCAGCTGGCCAACCTCCCACATCCCTCCCCAACCCCTATCATGCACTGGTGGGGTCCCTCAGCCTGGCCTGCACCCTCTTGCAATTCAGGACACCTCGGGGGATGTTGGAGAGCCAGTTATGGCCTGATCCTGCAGGCCAGGCCGAGGGACCCCACTGGTGAACAAATTTATGCACCGGGCCTCTGGTAAAGTGATAAGAAAACCAAAGGCCAAAAGAAGGTTCTGAAGCTGCTGTTCCCCATCCCCTGACAGGACTGGGCACTCCAGGAGAAACCTTGAGAATTGTGCAATATCTGAAGGTTTGCAGCTTAGAAACATTGAGACCTTTTTTGTGTGTGTTTTTGTTTTGTTATTGTTTTAAATTTTCTCTTAAGAAAAGAGTGAGCTAGGATAACAAGTGGTATCATTTTGTATCCCTTACTGAATCTTTCTCCCACGGTAGTACCTTTCTTTCTAAGATAAGTAGCGTAAGGAAATGAAAGTAGGTTCTAACTATTAGGGATACTAATAGGCCATAGGGAAGAGAATGTATTTTTACTGAGGACATTAACAATAACCATTTGGTAGATGAGGAAACTGGGACTCAGAAAAATTATTTAATTTACCGAACATTACATAGTAATTAGGTGGTGTGGGCAAGCTTCCTACAAAGCTACTGTTCTTTCTACCTTACTGAGCTACAATGATGGTGAGCAAGTATGGCAGGCAATCCCTAACCCACCCACTCTGGATTGGGTTTTTGGAATTAAATTTGATTATGGGCACATATTAAACATTTACTCTGGACATTCACAAAACCAAAAAATATGTATGTTGAATTATGTTTATGAATTAACCAAGAGGAAGCTATACACATATTGTATCTTGCTTTTTGTATAAACTTGGAATTCTTCTCTGCTTTCCACTATATCTTTATGCAAATAATATTAGTTCAATCAAACATTAAATATCTGCCTAAATTAGAATGCTTACTCCTCAGGTTTTTGTTTTAAGTTTTGACATTTCATGTCTCCCTTAAAGAATTTCTCATAGAGGCTACCTGAGAAAGAAAGGGAACAAACACACACACACACACACACACACACACACACACACACACACACCCTGAGGACTGATTAGATTACTTCTGGCGAGCAGATGAGTTCTGGGATGAGGGTGAAAAGGGAAATTTTATTTAGTATGTTTACCAGGTTGCTGTTATTGTTTGCATTTACTTGTATTATAAAATAAATTTACAAGAGGATTAGTTATATAATTAAAATATAATTATTAAAATATAAGAATCCTTTAAAAGCACATGAGAGCAGCCAGGCCATGGCATCCAATGCCCAGAGAGCCCTGGCTATCAGGGAGGTCTGACGGCTGACCTCACTGCCCTCATTATCCTGTGCATTCCTAGACTTGCACTCTCACTGAAATGGAAAAAAATGAACTGGATCAATATAATTTTGTATTACCCTGTCTGTTTAAATTTCTACTTTGAAACTTTAAAAATAATACTTATAACAGTATTGTTAGTCATTAAAAAGACACCTAATGCCCATCAACAGGAGAATGCATAAATTACAGTATATTAGCAGAATGGAGTGTTATGTGCCATACAGGTAAATTAATTACAAAAACATGCAACTACATCTAAGAATTTTAGTAGCATAATGTTGAGGAAAAACAAAGAAAACAGAAGATGACATCATCACAGTGTCCTTTTTACAAACAAAATATTGCTTAGGCATACACATATATAAGATAAAACTAAAAAAAATAAGCAAGAGAATGATAAACACAATATTTAAAAAGGTGATTACCTTTGGTGGAGGCAGTAGATATATGTTATTAGTAATATTCTAGTTCTTGGGTTTTAGTAAGCACTGGTAAGTATATATTTATTTTACTGAATTCAATATCTTAAATTATTTTTGCATTTAAACCTTTATACTACACATACAGAAAACAATATAAAACAAATGTAAACACTGATGCGACCACCCAGGTTAGAAATAGAACCTGGCTAGCTTCCCAGAACTCTTCACCTGCTCCACCTCAACATGACCTCCTCCCAGAACACTCCCTGGAGTGCCATCCTATCTGTCCTTTTTATTTCTCCATAAAATAAGTTACTAAAAATCATTCAAAGAAATTTTAGTAAGCAATTGGCAAACATGCTCTTTATAGTTTTCATATCAGCAAATATAGACATCCCTCATTTTTAAGGGGCTCTATATATTTTATTGGACATGCTGTTATTTATTTAAATAGTCTACTATTGATGGACATTACAGTTATTTTCCTTCTTTTTTCTGGATTAATGCTTAAAGAAATGTGTATCTCCTAAAGATTGTGATGAAAATTGATTCTCAGTATAATTCAAGTAAACCACTAATCATGAACTCTTTTCTTACTTGTATGCTCTGAGGATGTTCTACTGTATTATCTATAAGAGAGTTTAAAGTTTGAAATAAAAATTAGTGGAAAACATTTTCATTGTATTTTTAAAATATTTATTTTTAAATTGATATACGGTAAAATTTACTTTTTTATAAAAACATCTATGAGTGTTGACAAATGAATAGTCAAAATCACCACCACAGTCAAGATGTAGAACAGTTCTGTCACTCTTGTCAAACAAAAATCCCCCCTAACACTTTTTAAAAAATATATTTTTATTGATTTCAGAGAGGAAGAGAGAGAGAGAAAGACATATAGTTGATGAGAGAGAATAATTGACCTGCGCCTCCTGCATGCCCCTACTGGGGATCAAGCCCTCAACCCAGGCATGTGCCCTGACCAGGAATCAAACCATGATCTCCTGGTTCATAGGTAGACGTTCAACCACTGAGCCACACTGGCTGGGCCTCCCCCAACTCTTAAGACCAGACACTCACTCTGCTCTGTCCTATAGTTTTAACTTTTCCAGAATGTCATATAAATGGGACCATTCATTAAACACTTTTTTTGTTGAGCTTCCTTCACTTAGCATAATGCATTTGAGATTCATCCATATTGTTGTTTGTATCAATAGTTCATTCCTTTTTGTTGTTGAGTATCTTTAACTGTATGTATGTACCACATTTTGTTTATTCATTCCTCAGTTGAGGGACTTTTGGGTTTCCTATTTTTGGCAACATAAGTAAAGTTGCTATAAACATTTGTATATAAGTGTTTATGGGAACATAGGTTTTCGTTTCACTTGGTAAATAAATATCTGGAGTGGGATTGCTGGGTCATATGCTAAATATATATTTACTTTTTAAGAAACCGTTAAACATTTCCATAGTGTCTATACCATTTTTGCATTCCCAACAGCAAAGTATGAGAGTTCCAATTGTTCCACATTCTTGTCAACACTTGGTATTGACATTGTCATTTTCTTTTTTTAAGTCAGTCTAAAAGGTGTGTGGAAATATCTCATTTGGTTTTAATTTGCATTTCCCTAATATCTAGTGATGATAAGCATATTTTCACATGCCTATGGCCATTCATATATTTTGTTTGGTGAAGTGTGTATTCAAATTATTTGAACAATTTTAATTGGATTGTTTAGTTTCTTATTGTTAAGGGTTTTTTGTTTTGTTTAAGTATGTTTCCATTGATTTCAGAGAGGAAAGGGGAGAGAGAGAGAGAGAGAGATAGAAACATCAATGATGGGAGAATTCTTGATCAGCTGCCTCCTGCATGCCCCCCACTGGAAATCAAGCCTGAAACCAGGCATGCACCCTGATCAGGAATTGAACCGTGTCATCATAGTTCATGGTTGATGCCCAACCACTGAGCCACACCGGCTGGGCTTCTAGTTTCTTATAGTTTTATTTCAAAACATAACAATATCTTGTAACTCATCTTGTAATACATTTAAGAAAGATATTTACTTTTGTCTTTTGTCATGACTTGGAGGAAAAAGTAACCTAAATTTTACTCTTTTCATTGATGTTTCTTTCTTCATCTTCCAAAGATAGATAAAACGAGGGGAGGGGGGGCGCAGCACATGACCGTGGTGATGCTTGATGTCACTCTGGGGCAGGGCCTACACCCTGGGTCACTCCACTTATTCTATCTTCATTCTCCAAAACTACTTCTGTTGACCCCTGAGGCATACAACACAGAAGAATTAGGTTGGGGAATGGATTTCTAAGCTGTCTCCATGCAGAGTTCCTATACAGAGGAGTGCATGAGTCAGCTGCCCAGAGCAGGCTTCTATCCTGAACCAGAAACTAGAGTTTTCTAAAAACTGTGGCTTTTCTAAAGCAGCCCCCCAACTTATAAGCACATTAGGTAGGAAGTAGGAACAAGTCTATGGTTCTGTTGTCAAAGAGAAAAAAAAAAGTATAAAATTAGCTTAAAGAGGAAGCTATCTTGGGAGGCAATGCAAATGATTTATTTTGTGTTTACTGGAGATGTGACAGGTGCTGGCTCCCATTGATTCCTGATTGCAAATAAAATGTAAAGTTACCTCAAGAACTTTCAAAAAGACGCCAGCACTATAAGTGCACCCTAATTGTATGTATGCATGTTGAACTGGATTATATAGGTTTTTATCTTTTGTTAAAATGTAGATTCAGTGGATCAATATATTATTAAAGTATGTGTATATTATATAAAATTTTTCAAAGGCTCCAGCATTAGTCAAGGCAACTGCTTTAATTTGCCTAAAGAACCTGCACGTGTGAATTTTTCATGCCCTGGCCAAGTCCTTTACCCTTTAACTTAGTCAAGGGCCCCAAATAATGGCGAAAACCTGTTTAGTCTGCTTAATTTTGTAGTCATGGAAATTTTCCAATTTTCTCCTTTGTCTGATAACTTCAGGAGTGCAATGCTAGGCTGAAGCTTAATTTAATAGCCACAAGGCATATAAAATAGAAAACAAATGTATTTTCCGTAGTACAAAGATAAAAAAAATATCTGTCTCACTCATGATGTAGTATATACATGCCAGTGGATATATAGTCATATCTGTAAAGTTGTTAGGGGTATAGGTTTTCAAGTCACAGAGACATAAATTTGAATTCCAACTCCATGACCTTGGGCTAGTGTATCACTTCTTTAAGCCTCAGTTTCCCCAACTGTAAAATGGGGGTAGTAACTCCCACCTTGAAGGATTTAGGGAACATCAAATGAGATGATGATGTAAAGGTAGCCCAGTGTCTGGCTCATTTTGTTTAATAAATATTAACTATTACTCTACTTCCCATTAAAAGTCTCAATGCAGACCAGAGTTTTAACTCAGCTTCTCAAATGTTAATGTGCACACCATCAATCAATCACACTATTAATACTAAGATGCAGGTTCTGCTCCTGTAGGTCTGGGGCAGGCCCTGATGTTCTGCATTCTTAACTAGCTCCCAGGTGAAACTGAGGACAACACTTTAAATGGCAGGATGATAAAAGATGTTTGCAAGTGTTTTATTTGTCTATCCCAGGGGTGGGCAAACTTTTTGACTCGAGGGCCACAATGGGTTCTTAAACTGGACCGGAGGGCCGGAACAAAAGCATGGATGGAGTGTTTGTGTGAACTAATATAAATTCAAAGTAAACATTATTACATAAAAGGGTACGGTCTTTTTTTTTTTTAGTTTTATTCATTTCAAATGGGCTGGATCCAGCCCTCGGGCCATAGTTTGCCCGAGGCTGGTCTAACCAGTGGTTCTCAATGTTCTTTGAATATTAGGGAAATAAAAAAAAATTGATGCTAGCCTCACAAAAGAATTAGAATTTAATTTTAAAGGATTCTAAGTGGGGCCAGACCATTAGTATGCTTTAAAAGCCTTCCCAAATAACCATTAATTTCCTAGTTATTCTGAGGTACTCATATACATGATTCATGTTTGCTAATTGCTCTTTTCTCTTGTGAACATTAGCTGAAAAACATCACCTGTCTGAGAGGTAGCATGCTTTATGCCTACAGCCCTGGTACACACACACCCCTGTACGAGGCAGAGTGGGGAGGCAAGCAGAAAGTGTATTTTTGTCAAAGGCCCAGACGGTCAAGAGGGGAGTTCTGCTGTGTGCTATGGGGAGTTCCAGAGGAAGTTACAGGCGTTCCTCTCATGAAAAGAAAGCATAGTGTGATAAATACATTTGTTAAATAAGTCGCACCCAGAGTCCTCTAATTCTTGTTATATCTCAGACTCAGCAACTAATCTTCCTCGCAAGCCCCATTTCTCTTCCCTGTTTCCTATATTTTCATGTGTAATAAAATAAAAGAAGAAAGTGCTATGAGGCAAGTTCTAGTGTAAATTCCTGAACCTGGCTCATTGAAGGTGGTTAATGCATTTTGATAAATGAGTTAGCAGAGGCTTAACACATAGTAAGAACTCAACACGTGATAGTTGTAATTATTATCACTGGTGAAAGGTAAGTCACGTTGTTTCAGGGAATGTTGTAATTTGATTCACATGGAAAAAGATGAGCCTGGATAATAGGTGGTAGGAGGGCCATCAGGTGTACAGGTGGGGAGTGTTGAGAGGAAAGAACTACCTCAGAAAAGTGTGTAGAGAATTCCACTCTTGCCCAGACTGGATGGGGAAGGGACAGAAATGAGCCCAAGCAGTGCCCAGAAATGATGAATATTCCCTAGAAAAGCGGGGTGGCCTGAGTCTCTTTGGCTTCCACTCTGCACAAAACTGAAATGTCAATGCAGACAATGGGAGAACATCTTGTTTTCTGTGTAGCTTTATTCAGAGTGGTGATCCCGAAGGAACTGTACACAGCGGAACACGGCAGCAATGTGACCCTGGAGTGTGATTTTTACTCTGACGATGACCTGGATGTTGAATATCTACAAGCCAGTTTGCAAAAGTTGGGAAACAATATATCCTCGAACAGCACCACTTTGCTGAAGGAGCAGCTGCCCCTGGGGAAGGCCTTATTCCACTTCCCCCGAGTCCAGCTGAGCGATGCGGGGAAGTACCGCTGCGTGATCATCTATAGGAGCTCCTGGGACTACAAGTACCTGACTCTAAAAGTCAAAGGTGAGTAGTTTTGGGGCCTGGAATCTGTGGAAACATCTCTCCAACAAGGACCTAAAGCGAGCTCGAGCTAAAGCTGGGAGGATGGTTCTAAGGAGACAGAGCTATCTCAAAGAAAGGAAAAGTACCAGTTCAGAAATAACTTTTTACATATGAGTACAAGACTACTGAGGTAAGGGAAATAGGAGCAGGAGTTGCAGGAATAAATGGGGCTAGAGGAAGCCAGGACATGAGTCCTTGAAAGGTGGGGAGGAGCCAAAGGTTGGCTGTGCCTAATTCACAGTTTGTTTGAGGAACAACATTACTTGATTATTAAGCTACTCTTTGAGAACAGCTTATTCCCCCAGTCCAGAGTTATTTAAACCATGTTTGCCATCTATTTGTGAATTAAAATATCAGTTTAGTGAGTAGTAATCAGGTAGGTGTTTTCCCCCCAATAAAATGAGTGAACAAAATGAATAGAATAAAATACATCAGAGGTTGTATGTTGTGTCTGTTGCCTCACTCTAGGTCAGTCTAAAAGGTTTGAAGGGTACTACTCTAGTCCAAGCCTTTCTACATCCAGAAGTGAAGTGGGTGGCCTGAGGGAGCCCAGGGTAACTCCATTGGCTGGAGCATTGACCAGATGCATCATAGATGCACCAAGGTTGCAGGTCGGTCCCCGAGTAGGGGCACATGCAGAAGACAACCAGTGAATGCATGAGTGGGTAGAATAACAGATTGATGTTTCTCTCTCTCTCTCTCTCCCTCTCTCTCTCTCTTTTACTTTGCCTCTTTCTCTCTTTCTAAAATTAATTTAAAAAATAAAATAAAATGAAAGTTTTAAAAAAATAGCTGTCCCCACTCCTCTGTGTTCAGGGCTCTTTCCACCACAACAGGACTCAAGAACCTAAATCTGGAGAGATCTTCACAGAGGAAGGGAGAGAGAGAGAGAAGTATCAATGATGAGAGAGAACCATCGATCGGCTGCCTCCTGCACGCCCCCCACTGGGGACCAAGCCCACAACCCAAGCATGTGCCCTTGATCAGAATTGAACCTGTGACCCTTCCCTCTGCAGGCCAATGCTCTATCCACCGAACCAAACCAGCTAGGGCCTGCCTTCTATCTTTATTGCATTTTCTACATCCAGACTTAAACTGGGAGGAACTTCCAGAACACTGAAGTTAGTCTGAGTTCAATTAACAGGAAGAGAGAAGACTGTACATTTCATGATCCCCTAATGGCCCCCACGTTTGTTGATCTCTATTTGCATGCTGTAAAGCATCTAGGATTTGGGGGCAATTAGGGGCCAAACATCCCACTTTTTCTCTGTGGCTGAGGGCTACTTTTTATTCTTGGGAAGGCACTCTGCTTGCTTCCTCACATAGACCAGGGATGGCTCAGGTGTGGAGCAGATTTATTTCTTAAATATTAATTAATTACTTAAACAACTAATTAATTTCTTAACTTGTTAAAAGTCTCCAAACTAGGGTATATGGGGATCACAAAGACTTTATCTAAGGAGTGCATAGGCACATGCAGTTTTAGGAAATGAGTTTCTCAATTTTCATCTTCCCCAAGTACTCTTTCCCCAAACTGAGTGTGCCTGAGAATGTGCCTTCCAGGCAAGGCTCTTGGGGTTCCCCTAGAACACTTCCTCTTTTAGTATTGCTTTCTTCCACTTCAGAAAAGCCCACCTGTCACCCATCATGAATACAGTGCATTGCCCCACAGTGTAAAAACCTCCATAACCCGGTAAGTGGCCTTGTTCTCCACTTTTTTCTTTTGATTCTGCTGATACCGTCCCACTCTCATCAGCCTCCAACCCGCTCTCTCCTTGAGCCCAAGCACCATGCCTGCAATTAAATTGCAGAGTTCTGATGGAGAGATATTTGAAGCTGATGTTGAAATTGCCAAACAATCTGTGACTATCAGGACCATGTTAGAAGATTTGGGAATGGATGCTGAAGGCGATGATGACCCAGTTCCTCTACCAAATGTTAATGCAACAATATTTAAAAAGGTCTTTCAGTGGTGCACCCACCACAAGGATGACCCTCCTCCTCCTCCTGAGGACGATGAGAACAAAGAAAAGCGAACAGATGATATCCCTGTTTGGGACCAAGAATTGCTCAAAGTTGACCAAGGAACACTATTTAAACTTATTCTGGCTGCAAACTATTTAGACATCAAAGGTTTGCTTGATGTTACATACAAGACTGTTGCCAAAATGATCAAGGGGGAAACCCCTGAAGAGCTTCGCAAGACCTTCAATCTCAAAAATGACTTTACTGAAGAAGAGGAAGCCCAGGTACGCAAAGAGAACCAGTGGTGTGAAGAGAGTGAAAAGTTGTGTCTGACACTGTAAGGATTGTTTCAAATACTAGCTGCCCTGCTCTATTTATAATTGTTAATATTAGGCAAACAGAAGACAAATGCAGCAGCAAATCAATTGTATTAGCAGAATTTTGTCCTCATTGCATGTGTAGTTTGGGTACAGATTCCAAACCTATGGCTGAGTTTTTTCCAGTATGATCAAAAGCAGGGGTCCTCAAACTACGGCCCGTGGGCCACATGCAAATACAAATATTGTATTTGTTCCCGTTTTGTTTTTTTACTTCAAAATAAGATATGTGCAGTGTGCATAGGAATTTGTTCATGGTTTTTTTTAAAACTATAGTCTGGCCCTCCAACGGTCTGAGGGACAGTGAACTGGCCCCCTGTTTAAAAAGTTTGAGGACCCCTGATCAAAAGTATCTTTTTTCTTTGCTCTGAATAAAACTGAATTGTGGGTTCTCTATAAAATACAACAACAACAAAAACCTCCATAACCCTAAACAAAAGAGTAATTAGAAATATTAATAACTTACCAAACTATAATGACTAACAAATCTATTGCAGATGAGGAGATATCGAGTTCTCTGTTTTCAACAAAATTGAAGGAGGCCCTAATAGATGAGCACCTGATAATAAAAGATGAAGTAATTGTTGCCATATAAACATAAGGCTTTCAAAGAATGAAATGCCTTACTTCCATCCCCACCAACTTATTTTTATGGGCAAGATTCCTTAGTCCTTATAGCTATAAAAAAATGACAGATAGAAATAGAATTGATGTTGAATCTTGTCTCATTTCAACCATAAATCATATGGATCCTCTGATTCATGAACAAATCAGGAAGAAAGCCCATTCATCCCATAAGAGATACATTTCCAATAAAAATTTATGTTTAATAACTATCAATATTTATATTTTTATGTTTTGATTTCACATGTGCTAATAATAATGGAAATTAGATTTCAATGCAGAAGAAAGCTTTGAACACTTGAAGCCTTCTGGTCACAAGAAAAAATATTTAATTTTAATAGCCACACGTCACGTTCGGTTGCAAAGAAACATGGAATAATCAATAAAAGACCTTTAAATATGATGCATTAGTATAAAATCCTATAGAAAAGTGGAATGGAAATGAAGAGTCAAAGAATAAAAAGAAACAAAGTAAAGCTCTGACCATTAGAGAAAAATTTTTGTATGCACTTTTCAACAGATGGCAGTGTCTATAAAAAACTTTCTTCCATATCTAGATGACATTAGGTACATATGTAAGAGTGAAATAATTGTTTTATTAAAAATATAAATGTTTCCGAACTGCTAAATGTCATATATTTTTCCAACCTAGAAACACTAAAAACTTTAAGAATCAACTTAATATGTGAGAGGGTGCACACTGCATCACAATTCTTTTCGGAGAAATGCAAGGAAAAAAAAAAGTTGACCATCATCACCTAAGAGTATTTTATCCTGATCAGGGATCTCTGAAGGAAGCAGAGGAGAACTGGAGTCCTAGTTAGGGTTTGCTTACATGAAATAGGACTAAAGGAAGGACGAGCTTTTTCCTTAAAATGTCTGACCTATGGTATAAACATTGAAAATATTTTTTTGCACCTTCTTTAATGTCTGGGCAACAGTTCATATTAAATATATGAAAAAAGAACTGATTAACAGATTTCAAAAGCAAAGGGGGGGAAATAGAAGGTAAGATGGCTGGAGAGTGCAGAAGAAACAGTAACAGGAGGCTGCAGCTTCTGAAAAGCCAGGTTGCACTGCAAAAACAGTGAAAAATCTGTCCAAGGGAGAGCAGGGAGCATGGCTGGGGCGGGTGTGGGGGGGGATACAGTGGCCCTGAGAGGCTGGGACAACCCAGGAATTGAGCTCACAGGTTGAGAACCGGCCTATGCAAAGAATCCCCAACAGACACAGAGCAAGTACTAAGAAGAGAAGGACCACACCAACCTGAAGGCCTGGACAAAGCATGACGATGAGGATGGGAGAGAGCCAACACCTGGAATGAGCTGAGACTTGCAGAAGTACCTCAAATTAACAAAAAGGCCCCAGAGAGACAGTGCAACTTCAGCAAGTGGAGGATGGAGGAGGCATGGCTTCCATTCTTAATTACTAGAGAAATGGTCTTCACCCTAAGAAGGGAAGACAAAGGGCATAGGGAGGAAACAGCCCAAGAGGAGCGATGTGGTAGTGAAAAGATGGCTATGCTTTCAGCCTCTAAAAGAACATACTGATGGGGGCTCTGATCTTGGTGTCTTTTCTCCATTGGGGAAACAGAAGGGAATAAGGAGTTAAGGAACAATGAATTTTGAAGGGGAGAAAAGCTCCTGGGAATTATAAACTGTTTAACCTGAGGTTCCTCTCCAGACAAATGAGAGCAATCCTAAAAAAATTTTTGTCAGTGATTATTAGAAGTTTGTTGGAATTGTTTGAGGCTAGGACATGGAAACCTACTTTTTTATTTTAACCTTAGTTACAGTCATGATGATGATAAAACAGACAACACTATGTACAGCTTATCTTTATTTCAGCAATGCTAGAGTTGCCAGTAATTTATAAATCATATAGTCAAAGAAAACAGAAACCACTTAAACCAGTGGAGATTTAAATCAGGAAATCTTTTGATGGAATAGACTGAGAAGCCTACCTAGGAAGCTGCTACCACCAGTGGGCTGGAGGGAAAACAGGAAGGCAGGTTGGTGGAGCATAGGGCCCAGAGTCACATGATAGACATTAGAATCCCAGTGGGCCTGTCCAGTGGTAGCGGGAGCCAGGGAAGAAATGTAGCTGTTGTTGGAGAGACAAGTATAACACAGAGCATGGGGGAGGAATACCCTAACATTTTCCCCTCTCTCACCCTTCAAGCTTCCCATCATGTTCCTATTGGCTGTCAAGAACCTGGAATACACAGCCTGCAGGAATCAGTCTTCCTGCAGTAAAAAGCAGAGGAGAAAAATTGAGGGATGGATCCGAGGACAAACAGGCCCAGGACCCACACAGCACACACCTTGTGCATAAAGTAGTAAAATGTGGGTTGAATAGTAGTAGTTACCTGTATCTATAACAGACAGAACAACTAGTAGTTGTTGAGTCAGGGCCAGCAAAGGGTGATTGATGGTCTTGGGTCAACCTGGAGAGAATCTCCAAGTGCCAAGGGGTCTGTTACAGCCAACCAGGTTAGGCAGTAGTTCATTTATTTAACAAAATTGATCTTATGACCCTAGCCTGTTGGGCCTAAAGTGTGCTCAGCGCATAGGAGGTAATTAGTCACACTAGACTTTGTACTGCTTACATAATATCTGGAATATAGCTCACGTTACATTGGAAAAAAGAAAGTGAATCCAAAAACTGGTATCTAGCACTGGGTTTGATAACTATGTCCTGTGAGAAATGGTTGATAGAAAGAAATCTGTTTATTTACAAATGAAATGACTATATGGAGTTTCATTAGTTGTTTTCAAATACTGGAAAAGTTGCCTTCTCATATGGAAGAGCTAATAATTACTAACACTAATTGAGTATTTATTATGTTTTAGTCACATAACTCATTTAATCATTCTAACTCCTATTAAGGATAAGTATTATTGTACCAGTTTTATAAATGAAAAACCTGAAGGCTCAACAGGTCGTGTAACTAGCCCTTGGCTCAAGCCCAGACAAACCTTTCAGATTCTGAAGCCTATGTTCCAACTACTGTGATTACCATGTGTTGTTCTACTAAACCAGACAAGAACCAATGGTTGAAGTCACCATGAGGCAAAATTTGACTTGGCATAAGGATGCTTTTTTCAATGAAAGTTTAACTTTTTATTGTCTAATGATGGCAATAACTACTTCTATAAGTAAGAGCTTCCATTCATAGATTTACTTAATGAAAAGTTAGTTATCTCGCAAGTTACTAATATTAGAAAAGAAATATTATTAAAAATAAAAAGGGACATTTCATAATGATAAAAAAGTCAACTCAACAGGAAGACATGTGTGTACATCAAACACATAGCTTCAAAATATATAAAACAAAAATTGGCAGGTGTAAAAGGAGACATAAACAAATCCACAATTATATTTGGAGACTGAGTCATCTCTATCATAATTGATGGAACAACAACAAAAAAAAAAAATAGAAGAGTTGAACAACATAGCCATCTGGACTTAATTAACATACATGAAACTTATACCCAACAACTGTAGAATATATTTCCAAGTGCATGCATCAAGGTATTTATCTTCCAAAGATACTAAAGATATTTCCAGAGCAGGAAGTTGGACTAATTGTATTTTAAGACCACTCCCACCTCTGAAATTCTAAAATTTACTCATCTTTTCCTAAGAATAATATCCTCAATCCAGCTTCCTCATTGTGTGTTGCTGGTAGTGATGCCATTTCAGCCACTTCCCAAATACAAGAGGCTGTGGCAACATCTTGAAGTTTTATAAATGTAGACGTGTTCTCCTGTCCCTTCCCCAAACTTTGCTGATTCTTTTAGTTGAGCATCTCTCTCCCATCTCCATATATATAGAGAGATAGATAGATAGATGATAGATAGATAGATAGATAGATAGATAGATAGATAGATAGATATCCAGGTGCAAGCCTTAGCCCAGCTCCTGATTCCTCACCCTCCTAGCTCTGAAATCACCTATCAACTTGGCCATGAAGATCAGCTTCTTATCCCAAGCTACCCTGTGGGAGCAGGCCACACCTTCACCCACAACACACTACTCCTATAAATTCATTTATGCTCCTCCATGCCCCCAAATGCCCCAGAGCTTCAGAAATAACCTACAACATGACTATAAGAGGAATTGTACCAAGGAGGGAAAAGTGTAGATAAGTAACAAAATGAGTATTCAGAATGCATGACTGATTATTTGTATTTGGCTCCAAGACTGGTAAGTCTAACTGGTTCAAGTCCTTCAGTAGGCTGGTTCAGAACCTGATTCTCCTTGTATACTAGTTCTGGGTACTCCCAAGTCCCCCTGGAAAATACCCTTCCTCTATATTGCTCCATCCCTAGACATTTTCAGTTGCATAGAGAATCATCCTCTGATGATGATTCCAATACAAAATTGAGAATACAGTAGCTGTGAAGGGCATGAGTTCAAGTCCTCCCCCATCCATCCCTGATTCCAGCTGTTTCCTTATTTACAAAATAAGAATATGAATTTTACCTACCTCACAAGTCCTTGTGGAGTTTAAATGACATAATGTATATTAAGGGGAAGGAGTCAGGAATTAGAGCCACTCTCCCCTGCTCCTCTCCATGTTCTAAACTAAGTGAGCAATATACACAAGAATTAATATCAAATGGGAAATGACCTCCATTTTTAAACTAATAAGTGGATAAGGACATGATTTTCCCCTCCCCCTATTCTGGGGCTTCTCTGGTAATTTACACAGGAGAACATGACTTAGACTAGAGTCCTTGTGTTTCTTGTTCCTTCAGCTTAACCTAAGACTCCAGGTTTGCAGATCAGACTCTAAGGTCACTCATCACACAAAGCATTCAACCTCTCTAGCTTCAGTTACCTCCAACAAAAATTGGGAATATCAACAACACCATTTTTGTTGTCTTGTAATACTTAAATAACTCAATGTGTGTAAAATAGCATATCTGGGACAAAGAAAATGTTTTTAAAAAGTAAAGGCATTATTACTTAATATTGATAATGATTACTTTTTAAAATTTCATATGGTATTGGGTACAGAGCTCTACGGGAATCAGAAAAGAAAGACTTATTTTTTTTTCTTCTTCTGTCGCCCAGCTTCCTACAAGAAAATAAACACTCGCATCCTTCAAGTTCCAGGGACAGATGAGGTAGAGCTCACCTGCCAGGCTGAAGGGTACCCCCTGGCAGAAGTCTCCTGGCCGAATATCAGTTTTTCTGCCAACACTAGCCACATGGAGACCGCTGACGGCCTCTACCGGGTCACGAGTATCCTGCGCCTAAAGCTGCTCCCTGGCAGAAACTTCACCTGTGAGTTCTGGAACGCTGACGTGAAGGAACTTACTTCCGCCATCATTGACCCTCAAGGTAAGAGCAGCTGCCCTTCCTGACTATCAGTCACATTTCACTTGGAAGGAGTAATTTGAGGAGAGTGTAATAAAGGGACTACTTATGAAGTTATGATCAGGATTTAAAGAAACTACTGAGGATAGTGAAGGACCCTGGGGCTTCAACAGTAGGGGAGCCGTGACCACATTGGAGAGGTGACTGAAACCTGGCGAAGAGAGCTGTAGGGAAAGCGCCATGTGGCAGAGCGGTGCCCTCCGGTAAGAGGACGCTGCCACTCGCAGCAACTGCCAAAGGGTGCAAGTGGTGAATAAACATCCCACCCTCTGACCTCCTTCTGGTGCCTCCCATTATGCTAGATCCAACTGGCAGTCAGAGAACAAGGGAGTCCACTGATCCGGTCCATAAAGATCAACCTCTCAGAGCTCAGAACAGAGTGTTGAAGTGTAGATAATGGGTCCGAAGAGGAAACAGAAAATATCCAGCACAAAAGCTATTCACTCAGCGGGATGAATATCACTTTCCTGGCTTTGCTGCCAGATCAATGGTTTGGGGGTTTTGCAGGAAAACTGGCCACTCACAAAAAATCTTGCAGAGCTCTCACTGGCTATGCCGAACCCCATACTTTTAGAACTTTATACACTAGCAAAATGTCAAATGCTTACCGAAGCCTGACCATTCTTTTATGTGCCAAGTAAGGACATTTATTTGCCAAATAAGAGTAACTAACATCTAGTGTCGCAATCATTTCATAAGAGACAAGTCATTTATCACCAAGTGTGCAAGTCTCCTGGTGGTCCTACAACAAATTACCACAAACTTTGTGGGCTTAGGACAATACAAATTTATTATTTTACACTTCTGGGAGTCAGAAGTCTGAAAAAGGCTTCACTACGCTCAAATCAAATCAAGGAAGAATGCATTTTCTTGTGGGTTTTTTTTTTTTTACCAGCTTTTAATGGCTATCTGCATTCCTTGGCTCATGGACCCTTCCTCCACTTTCAAAGCCAGCAGCTGCATTACTCAGACCTCTGCTTCTGTCATCACATCTTTTTCTTTAACTCTCTTGCCTCCCTTTTCTACCTTTTAGGGACCATTGTGACTACTGGGACTCAATAATTCAGGATACTTGACCCATTTCAAGTTCCTTAATATAATCACATCTATGAAACCCCTTGCAATGTAGGATAACATATTCACAGGTTTCAGGGATTAGAACATGGACATCTTTGAGGGGAGCCATTATTCTACTAGCATACAAATAAAGAATATCATCTCAGAATAAAGGACATTCCCTAGTACTGGTTAATTTGACTATAGAAAATTAACTGTGTTGTCATTATATGTCACTTCTTGTCCTTTGTCTTACAAAACTGAGCCTATGATAAGGGCTATTGGGCATGCAATTATTTAGGTGTTGATCCCAGGGAGTAGAAATGAGAGGTTTAGGAAGAAAGAAGGAAAAGCAAAATAAGGATGCATTATCGAAGTTGATGTGGGCAACAGGAGCTCAAATATGCAAGGACTCCCTGAGCAGCATACAGATGGCCTCCTAAGATGTTTACTTATAGGACTTCAGGTGGAAGGACTAATGCATCTGCTTTCTCCTCCAGTGGTTGACAGTTGTCATCAGGAGTATGAACTCCCTTCCACTGTGAGCTGTATGGTCTGAGTGAGCTCCCCCAGCATCTGTAGCATCAGAGTCATCCCAGGACAGAAGGCAAATATCCACTTGACAGAATCACTGACCATGAAGTGAATCAAAGCCCAACCAGGATTCTACCCAATCTGTGGCTGAACTCAGGCATCAAGTTGAGAGGAAGTGAGGCAGGGCTACAAGTCTAATCTTTGTACTGTTCAAGCCCACTCATGCCCTACATTGAGTCCACTGTCTCTGAGCCTTCAGGCAGGGAACCTGCAAAAGATATGATATGGAAAAATTGGTGGAACAAACTACTGTTCCTGCTCCTGCAATTGATCCCAATTGATATTTATCATCTATCTCATCCACCATACATTCTAGATTTCCCTCACTCAACACTTCACATGCAATAGTTTGTTTGCCTGGGGGACTCAGACTTCGAACCCTTATTTGCCTTACCCTTAGCTGACTCAGATTGCTACAATTGCCTTTTCATTGTTATTAATGGGCATGGAAGTAACCAGAATCAGAATCGGTGGATCCCTGAGTTCTAGACATAGTTTTCCTTGCCTCCATTATGTAATTGCTTTCAAGATCTTCATGGTAATTAAGATAAATTACTCCACCAATATAATAATTCTTTTCTTTCCTGCTGGTCCAATTTCCAAGCTCCCAACTGCCCCCCAATTCCCTACCTACCTACACGTCTCTATGCAATTCCAACACTAATGTTAGCGGTGAAGTGAGGTAAAGAGAGGAGTCATGCTAAGGATATTGATAGAAATAAAGACATTAGAAACATCATTTTTAGGGTCAACTTTGAATGAAAATAGTTAACTAGGCAAGCTGGCTTTTCAATAATCTTTATTTCTGTTTTTATCACAGTTAAGACCACCAGACTTGTCACCTTATGAAAATCGAACTATAACTAATTCATACTACTGCTTTAGAGGCTTAAATACTAACAGTCCCAGGGAACTTTATTTTTCCTCGACTGTCCTTTATGTTTACTGGACTATCCTTTGATATGTGGGATTTTCTGTTTGGTTAAGTGTTGGGTGGAATGTGGTTTTCTAGAACACTTATAAAAGGATCTCCACAGAGAAATACAGGCCTGGCTAAGATGAATTTGGAAACAACTAGAATCTGCCTTTTGCATCAATGTTTTTTCTTCGGGTTAGAGAAGTATAAGGGCAGACTGATCATTTCTCCGGAAGCCTTGAGGCTGTGAGAAGTTAAGAATAAAGTAAGGCGGCCCCTCTCTCTCTGGGGAGCCAACACACCTGACTGAATAGTCAACAGTTGTGGGAGAGACCTGTGGGGCCTGCATCAAAGCCTGGGATATCACTCATGAATGCAACCAACAGGGAGATGGAGAAATCTTTGCAATTAGAAATTCTCAACCTAGCTTTACTCATCCTCCCCAGCTTTAAAGTCATCCTACTATCCCCTGACATGATCCTCTGCTCCAGTCAGCTCCCCTTCCTCACCATGTACTCTCTGAACTTGCTTGACCCTCTCCCACCACCATGACCTCTTTGCTCAGGCATTTTATTCCACATAAAAATCATTATTCACCAGCTCCAAGCCCACTCTCTCTCTAGGGCAGCTCAGGTAACTCCAGGATACAAGCAGTCTCCCCTCATCTTGCCTCCTGAGACCAATTGTGCCACTTCTTTGTTTGCCTGTGACTGTACTTATCTTTTCTCTTCCATTACTATTTTATTTTCCATGTATTTTAATTATTCACATGAGTCTTCTTTATACCCAGATAAAGCAAAAACAGAGTACTCTGTTCATAGTAAGTGCTCAATCAAGGTCAGACTAATGGGTTAAAGGCTTAGTCTTAGATGATCTCAGACCCATCATCCCAGCCTCCAGACTGTGTGGACAGTCAGGTCAGAGCAGTCAAATGATACGCTGGCTTGTGGTACAAATACCTAACCACAGTCACACATCCTCCCACGGGTTCCTAGCTTCTATTTCTCAAAGGCATTTTAAGTTGTCTTATGACTATCCTCTTTCTACTCATTCTCATAAATTCAGCTGCTCAGTGCTGATTTCTGTGACCCACCACAGGTTTTTCCAGAAGTCGATGAATCAAAGACAGCAATGAAATTCTGGGGGTGGGTGGTGCTCCCATGACTCTAGAATGGATGACCGAGCATCCTAACTTTCCATCAGAAATTAAGGAGCAGTAAGACGATTTTCCTTTCAAAACAGAGTTTAATCTGCTCAGTCGGTTGTTGCATTTTCATTAGGAGGTATCTAGTGAGACTGGAGCCCAGATTCTTATAGGGCTGGCAGAGAAGCCCTTCTAGGAGGCCTGGCAGTGACTCTGGCATTAGTCAAGCATGCGGGCTCTGAAGTCAGATGGGCTTGAGTTTCAAATCCTCTCTGCTACCTATGGCTTTGAGAACTTGAGCCACCCTAGAAGTGTCCCTTGTCCTCCTTTGTTGAATGAGGATAAATAATGGTAGCCACCTTACAAGGCTATTGGGACTGTTCAATGAAATATAATAGTAAAGTCCCTAGCACTCAGAAAAGATGGAAACAGGAAAAAGAATGGCATCTTTAGCAAGAGGCATGGCTAAAACAAACTGCTGTCCCATACAGCATCACATCATTGTTAAGTAGCATGTAAATATTAGAAAACAGTTTAGAATAATATATATAGACGAAGAGACCTGAAAATATAGTGATTCAAACAAGACAAAAGTATATTTCTCCCTCATGTAATATTCAGAATTAGAAGGTGGTTCAGAGCAGGTAAGTAGCTATATTCCATAGTCATTCTGTGGTCCAGGTTCTTTCCATCTTTTTCTGCCATTCTCCAGGGTGTTATTCCTATTGAATTGTCAAGGCTGGGTCACTGCCATATCCATGTTTTAGCCTTCAGAAAGGAAAAAGAGGCATAGTTAGTGTTTTAAAGCCAAAACTGAGAAGACCCATTCTCTTGGCTTGAAGTTAACTTACATGTCTGGCCACACCTATTTATAGGGGAGGCTTAGAAATGTAGTCTCTGAGAAACCATGTGTCCAGCTAACACCTAGCTGACACTAGGGAAGAAAAGCAGAATGGATTTAAGGAAGAAGGGGCAGTCTGCCACAAGGTAACTGCTGACAAGGAAGATTGGGGTAGGTGGACTAAGTAGATGGTCAATTCAGCCCAACAAATCCTTACTGACATCATTCATGTAGCAGTGCTTGGCTTTATAGGGGATTCAGCGGTGACTTAGATAAAGTCTTTGCACTTCAAATACTTACAATCTAAGCAGACTGATGTTCCTTTGGATGTTCAACGTTAGAAAGTCTTCGGGGATGAGTAAGCTTTTGTATGTGGAAAGGACTATAAGGGAACTGGACAGGACAAGGGTCTGCATAAAGGCCCTAAGGTAGGCACTTTTCCTGTTGTGGGAACAGTGAGGGTCCCAGGACTCCCTGACTCGTGGTACAACATGCGGCAAGTGCTTAAATAGCACTTCCTAGGGGTGAAGGAGACGACTGTAATCAATGTGGGTTATCTATTGAGGTTTGGTAACTAGACTTACTGTGGTGATAATTTCACAGTATATACAAATATTGAATCATTATGTTGTACACCTCAAACAAATGTAATGTTGTATGTCCATTATACCTCAATAAAAATATTTTTTTGAAGGCTGGGTTATCCAATGTATGGATGAGCCAGTCTTTCTACTCCTTTTCCTCCTTAGTGTTCACCACACTCTTTTAGATAGAGAAAAGTATCTATTGGGCCAGAGCTTTGGATCAGAGAGAAATGGGTTTGCAATTTCAGCTTTGCCACTTGCTTAGCAGTGATGACCTTAGAATCAGTGGTTCTCAGCCTTCTGGCCCTTGAAATACATTTTCTCATGTTGTGACCCAACCATAAAATTATTTTCGTTGCTACTTCATAACTGTAATGTTGCTACTGTTATGAATCGTAATGTAAATATCTGATATGCAAGATGGTCTTAGGCGACCCCTGTTAAAGGGTCGTTTGACCGCCAAAGGGGTCGCGACCCACAGGTTGAGAACTGCTGCATTAGATAGATTATTTCTCATCTTTGAGCTTACTTTGTCAATTCTCAAATAAGGGGCTCAGATTAAATGATGTCTATGCCCTTCTCAGCTAAAACTGCCTATGGTTCTCAGAAGGCACTGTGTTGGGGGAGGGGAGGCAGTGGGCAGGACTGAACCTTTCCCCCTGAGCAGTGTTTCCAGGTTTTTCTATGTTTATTCCGTATAAGTGACTCCATGAGCACCATGACAGAGGAGCAAACTTCAGGTTTATGGAAAAGGCACAGCTTACCTTGAGTCTACTTCTGTTTCCCTGCAGTGAACCCCCCTCCAGCCCTGTCTTTGGTCAGCCTGGGCTCCCATTCTAACCTTTAGATATTCATAGCTCCCCTTTATAAGGTTTTCCTCAGGCTCCCAAATTACTTTCTCATCCACTTCTCTACTAAACTCATCTTTTCCACAGTGCCAGGACCTTCATTAGCTATGACAAGGAAAGGGACTAATTATTATAATTTTCAATGACTAGATTTTGTATATGAATACTACCTATAAGATTTTATTTCTTCTACAGGATCCTATAATTCTTTGAAATTTAATAAGTAATGAATATAGATTTTGAGCACCATTACAGAGGAGCAGGGAGACAGTTTTGGACTGAGAGACTACCCTACTGGAAAGATAAAGAGAGACGATGATGATGATAGGTAAATAGGTAGATAGGTAGATAGATACATAGATACATAGATAGAATATGATACATGTGTCAGAATGATGCAAAGCATGGAATCTGTAACAAGACAGCCTAGATTATATCTCGATCTGACGCTTACTGTATAACTCTGGGAAAGCCTCCTAGGTCTCACATTTTTTAACCAGTAAAATGGGGTCATAGTTGAGCCTGCCTCCTAGGGTGGTTATGAGGAGTGAATGAGCTGGTTCACACAGGGCTCATAGAAAGTACCTAGCATGAGTTAGATGCTCAGTGCAAGTTGGCCATGTTGGTTATAACACACTCAGAAGGCCAACTTGTTGATTTACATCTGAGCTACCATGTAATTGTGGTGCTTTTCTTTCACCCAGGTGAGATGGAACCCGAGGTCCCTTCAACTTGGCTGCTTCATATTATCATCCCTTCCTTCGTCATTGCTTTAATATTCATAGTTACAATGATAATCCTGAAAAAACAACTCTGCCAAAAGCTTTCTTCAAGAAAAGGTAGGTGAGTTTTATTCACAGTAACCATGTGGACTGGGTGTCTGCAGTGAAGGGCTCTGCTTTCACCACTGGCCTCCCGCTTCCCGGTTTCATACAAAATCCACTCAATGGTTATTAATTGCTTTGGGTTTGTCCTGATGATTTTTCCCCCAGAAGAAAATGGCTCTAGTCTTCAGTGAGCTAAAACTCTTACACTGAATATTTTAAAAGGAATATTTTGTTTCTGTGGCTGAAATCGTTTGCTTTATTCTTTGAGCCGAGAAGTGCCATCGGCCTCATGAGATTGGTGTTATTTTGGCAATGTTGGACAGCTATGTGGTCAGCATTCACTGGTGGGAAGATGCCAGGATCCTTTCTGACAACTCCTTCAGCTCTCAGCTCTCCTTGCCTCATTCTGGATATGAGCTGGGCTAAGCCCTCCTCTTACCCCCAGGAATCTGAATCTCCTGGTTGGGTAAGAAAAGGAGAAAAGTGTGTGAGGTAATTTGGGGGTGGGGAAGCACCTGTTTGGTGGTACCCTGAGGTCTTTCAGCAGATCCCCACTCCTACTGTGCCAGCCGGGACACAGCATGCCTGCAGCCTTGGAGCGCTGGCCTGAATATCTGCAGTCCCATCTGGTGCTTCCCTAAACTATCCCTTTGTCAGCACCCAACCAGCTCCTCCCAAGATTGATACACAGCCTTGTCTATAGAAAAAGAAATGGCATCTGGGAGTAACTCAATAGAATTTGGGGTGATCACTATTTGAGGATTGGGCGATGTTTTCCCACATTTACAATCTAACTTCTATATTCTCATCTGTCATGAAATATTATCATACTCTATTTTTGCCCATTGCCCTCTATATGCATTAGCTTGGGTAATATCCACAAACCCCTCTAAGGTAGATGTAAAGGAACCATTGTCAAAAGAAGGGAGGGGGGACAAAGGAAAAGGGAAGGAGGAAGAAGAGAGAAATGACAAAAGTGGAGGGGAAGGACGCTCCACCATAAAGAGGGAATCACAAGTTCTTGTTGGACAAAACTTTGACTAAACAGAATTACTTCTGCAAATCTGTGACTTCAGAGTCATGGCAGATGCAGTGCAGTTTATTAGAATATTATCTTTATACCATATTTCCAGGCCTGGGGCCTGAGAACCCTTTAGTCACCTCAGAAATGGGCAGTAGAGCCTTCTGTCCTTATTCTCTTTTGGAGAATAAAGTGGAGTTATACTCAAAGGTAGAGCAGGGGGAAAATCCTCCCTTCATCCCTCATCTCAATCTCTAGAGTGAGTGAGGACATCAGTAGCTCCTGGGTGCAAGGCTCAAGCACCAACTGTAGTGGAGAGCTGGTTACTAATAAGGGCTGAATGAATAAATTTGCAAGTGATTCCTTTTTTTGTTTGTTTGTTTTTAATGAAGCAGAGTGAAATCATGGTTGCCTGTATAATAACCTCCCTCTCTAACTCTCGTGCATTGGAATCTGCTTTCTTACATAGGAGATACACGGATACAAATGTGGAAACGTGGTGGCCATGCGCAAAAACTCATGTGTCACGAAAAAAGGTTGAGAACCGCTGGTTCTGTGGATAGAGCTTTAAACCAAAGTCAGAAGGTTAGATGTGGAGCTGGTGCTATCATTTATTGGTTCTATGGTCTTGCACGAATCACCTAACTCCTTTGAGATTATTTTTCTATCTGTAAAATGGGAAGCGACCTGGGAATGAACATTTTGCCGTTGATTAATCCAATCTCACTGCCACTACCAAGGTTCAACCTGGACTAGGGCAGAACCCTCCTCACTCAACTCCCTGCATCCACTCCTGCTGTCTCCAATATGATTGACTTTCACTTTTAGCTAGCATGAGCTTTTAATTTCTCAAATCTATCATGTCTCCTCTGTTCAGATCTCTTCCATGACTTCCCATTGCTCACACACCCATTGGGAGGTGTGACTCATGTATTCAGTTTTATACGGCACCACTATCACCTTTGTTACCCATGCTTTAGCCATAAAGGATTTTCTAGTCTTCAGAGACATCCCTCTCTTTCAAATCTGAGTTTCTCATATAGTATTTGCTCTTCTTAAATTACTTTTTCCTTGTCCATCTGAGTTGGTGTCATCCATTAAGTCTCCACTAAGCTGTCACTTCATCAAGCCTCCCCTGAATCTACCCCCTCACCACACCAATTACATTAAATTCCCTTGTCAGGTGCTTGCCTAGCACCTACTTCTTCCTTCAGTATACTCAGCACACAAGTACATAGGACCTATTTTAATAGCTTGAGCTAAAACCGCAATTGCATCTCTTTTCATTTTCCAATTAATTCCTCAAGCCACCAGCCTTCCCATCTTAGCAAAAAGTCCAGTGTCTCCTTCTTACAGTATGTACTTCCCCAACTCCCACAAACTGCCAGGAGGCTTACTTAGCCCACAGGGCCAGTGCTGCTTCTGAGAAAGCTACTGGGGAACTAGGTCAGTTCACCAGAGAGCCCTGGTTTTAAGCTGCTGCGGTTTCTACTACTGCCATGCAACATCCCTGTTCCCTCCAAGTGTCTCCATCCACTATGCAAAGGTACCCTTGCTGGTTCAGATCCCCACACAGACCAGAGCGATGCAAGATGACAACTCTCCTGGCTCCCCTCACATGTTCTGGCCTCGCTCCCAAAGCAGGACCCTCAGGGGCTGATAAGGGAGGAGGGCCTTCCTGCCTCAGCCACAGCTGTGCACAGCCAGCCTCTTCTGCTCTCAAACCTTCATGTGGAGCCTGGGACACCAGTCCTGACTTCCTTCTCTGGAGTCATTTCTGTTCTGAACTCCTCAGTCTATTGGAGAGGGTCAATTTTAGTCCCTTTCTGTCCAGAAAGCTCCTTGGCTCCTCAACACATTTACCCGCTTATACCTCAGACCAGCTCTGCACACTGAGGTTTTTGGGGAGAGCAGCCGTTGCCAGTCCATAAAAGGTTCATTTACCATCCCCCACTAAGAGGGACCATTCAACAGATCAGGGCTCCAGGGTGATACTGACATTATTGTAAAAAATAAGGTCAAGTTCTGTTTCATCTGTTAGTCTTTAAGTTTCATAAGTACAGGGGCTATGTTTCTCTTATTCACCAATGTATGTCCAGTGTCTAACTCTAAAACATTACCTGGCAAATACAGTTCTTCAAGAAAACTTTAAACATTGAACATACTACATGCAGGAACATAGGCTAAACTTCTTTGTAAAATATACTAGTCACATGTGGTTTTTAAATTTAATTGAAATAAAAATTCAATTCCTCGGTCACATTTTAAGTGCCTAAATATTGCAAGTGCTCAGTAGCCACGTGGGTCTGTATGGGACAGAGCAGATATTACTAATTTCCATCTTTGCAGAAAGTTATATTGGACAGCATTGTGCTAGACCCTTTGCAGTTAATTTCACAAAAACTGCTTGAGGCAAGGAATCGCGTCTATTTTGTAAATGAAGAAACTGAAGCTCAGAAAATATTTCTGAAGTGATACAGCTGGGCTTGAACACAGGTCTGACTCCAAAACTTGTGGCCCTTTGTTACAAAAGTGCTTAATAAAAATGGGCTCAATCTGAATACACTTTACATTATAATTATCTTTAGGCAATGGAAAGAAAAGGTCTCAACCCAAAGTACTTGAGCAACTTGTTCATTGACCCGCTGGGCCAATGGCAAAGCCAAGAAAAGAATCCAGCAAGAATTGTGAGCTATAGAGACCAGATTTCCAAAAAAAGGTCTCTAGATTTCTATTTCTCAAACTCTCTATGCTAAAGAACAATTTTGTTTTTTTTCAAATTTCTAATATGTTAGAATTGGTACTTTTATCATATGGGAAAATTACTAATAATGAAATAGAAAAAAACAAAGACATAAAGCAATAAGCCCAATTTTTACTAGAGTTAATAAGTATAAAATGACATTTGAATATGTTGAAAAATATAACCTAGTAAAATAATTACTATAAAATTTTCTAAATGTTTACCCTTCACTTCTGTACTTATCTCATTATGAACAAATAAACAGTTCACCTCCCAGCACCAGCTTGTAGACCACACTTTTGGTGGCACTGTCCTAAAGGATTGACCAAGGTCTTTCTAGGGATTTAAACCAAAGGCCAAATATGCAGGTTTATGATGTATAAGAACAACAGAGAATGGGAGCACCTACTTCAGGCATTAGAGAGAGGCCTCCCCCGAAACTTCAACATTCCAGGGCAATCCCTCTGAGTTAATCATTGGGCTCCTTTCAAGTACAAATGCTCTTGGAGGAGACTGCATTGCTGAATTAGAGACCCAAGATGGTCATTAGAGAGTTACTAAAAACAGAATTAGAGGCAGACTGAATTTAGATAAACAGGAAACTGCAGGAGATGGGCATCAAGCCCTGGAAGAAAATAAAAGTGGAAAGGAACATGTGAAATCAGGGATTGAGAAAAATGAAACCAGGGAAACAGTGGGGAGCAGCATCTAATTATAAGAAATTTTGGCTTCCACCCTGAGTTACTTTGAACCAGTATCAGTCATTTACATCTTAGTGCAAATTAATTGATCAGACCTTCTGCTCTATGTAGGGCAGAGGGAAGGAAGTGGCAGTAAATACTAAAGCAGAAGAGGGAGAGAAAATTCTGGAGCCAGACATTTCCTGGACTGAATCCCAAAGTAGCAATCCCTTGGCCCCTGAGTGCCTGGGGTCAGGGTCAGACAAAGGAATGGCAATGGGGGCCTTCTTTGTTCACAATCTTGCCAATGGGTATAGTTTTACGTTACTCATTATTCAGGCTGAGTTCTCAAGCCACTGAGACATTTAGACTTCTATATGTGAGTTTATTTGGATTTACTCTTTTTATCTATAATAATAAAAGCCTAATATGCTAATTAGACCGGATGTCCTTCCGGACATCCTTCCAGACAAAGCCGGTACTGTGAGTGAAGCCTGGGACCCAGGTGCCAGAGGGAAGCCGGTGCTGGCAGCAAGGTGGGGGGGATGCAGGAGAGGGAAGGAAGTTCTACTCTTGCGTGAATTTCATGCATTGGGCCTCTAGTGTATATATATAATGTATTTTTATTGATTTCAGAGAAAAAGGGAGAGGGAGAGAGAGAGAGAATCATTGATCAGCTGCCTCCTGCATGCCCCCTACTGGGGATTGAGCCCGCAACCCAGGCATGTGCCCTTGACTGGAATCAAACCCGGGACCCTTCAGTCCACAGGCCAATGCCCTATCCACTGAGCTAAACCAGCTAGGGCTGGATTTACTTTTTAAAATACTTTTTTATTTTTCAATTACAGTTGACATACAACATCACATTAGTTCCAGGTGTACAAACCAGTTATTAGACATTTATATAACTTACAAGTGATAGTCCTGACAAATCTAGTACTCATCTGGCACCAGACATAGTTATTACAGTATTATTGATTAGATTCCCTATGCTGTACATTACATCTACATGATTATTCTGTAACTACCAATTTGTACTTCTTAATCTCTTCACCTTTTTCACCCATTCCCCCAACACCCCTACCACCTAGCAACCATCAAAATGTTCTCTACATATGAGTCTTTCTGGTCTGTTTGTTGCTTTGTTTTGTTTTTTAGATTCCACATATAAGTGAAATCAAATGGCATTTGTCTTTCTCTCTTTGATTTATGTCACTCATAAACCTATCTAAGTCTATCCATGTTGTTGCAGATGGCAAGATTTCATTCTTTTTTTATGGCTGAGTCATATTCTATTGTATATGTGCACCACTTCCTTATCCATTTATCTACTGATGGGCACGTAAGTTGCTTCCATCTCTAAATAATATTGCAATGAACATATGGATGCATATGTCTTTTTCATTTAGTGTTTTGGGTTTCTTCTGATAAATACCCAGAAGTGGAATTACTGTCCTTTTTTGTCTAGTTATAGCCTTTGTTTAAAAATATATTTTGTCTTGGTATAATTATTGCTACCCCAGCTTTTTTGTAATTTCCATTTTCATGAAATATCTTTTTCCATTCTTTTACTCTCAGTCTGTGTCGTTTTTTAATTATTATTGATTTCAGAGAGGAATGGAGAGGAAGAGAGAGATAGGAACATCTAAGAGAGAGAATCATTGATTGGCTGCCTCCTGTACACCCCCTACTGGAGATGGAGCCCACAACCCGGGCATGTGCCCTTGACTGGAATAGGACCAGGGACCCTTCAGTCCACAGGCCAGCGCTCTATCTACTGAGCCAAAACAGCTAGGGCAGTCTGTGTGTCTTTTGATCTGAAGTGAGTCTCTTATAGACAGCATATGTAAGGGTCTTGTTTTTGTTATCCATTCAGCCACTATATATCTTTTGAATGGAGCATTTAATCCATTTGCATTTAAAGTAATTGTTTGTATATATGTATTTATTGCCATTTTATTATTTATATATTTTTTTCCTTTCTCTTCTTAAAGGAGACCTTTTAACATTTCTTATAATACTGGTTTGGTAGTGATGAATTCCTTTAGTTTTTTCTTGTCTGGGAAGCTCTTTGTCTGTCCTTTGACTCTTAATGATAGCTTTGTTGGGTGGGATAATCTTGGTTATAGGTCCTTGCTTTTCATTACTCTGAATATTTTGTG